ACCTTCTCCGGTGGAGCGCCGAAAGGTAACTCTAGTAAATTTCTCATGTCATTGAGTTACCTCACTTGTGGGTAAGTTCTTGCGGTGTCCATTTGTTGGACTAGGTTTGTGAAACACCTATTAGCCGCGTGAACTACCAAGTGTTGGTCGACACAACGGGGACTAGCGTGCCAGCAAGTACATGAACCTCGGGAGAAAAATCTTGGTGTCCATTGTGATTGGAATTCTCCCGGTGATTGATTTGGCATTCATATTGTGATTGGTTCATTCCTCTACACGGCGGTATAACCTTTCTACTCACTCCTTTGCATTTACTTTGTTTAGTTGTGTGGCAAGCTCTTTCGTGTAGCTAGTTTTGAGAGCTTGCTTGCTTGTTTAGTTTCACCTAGTGGATCTCTTTAGTGTAGCTTTGTTAAGAGCTCTTAGTGAGTAGTGACTTAGCTCTTGTTGTGTGCCTAGTGATCATAGCAACTAGAATTGTTTGGATAGGTGGCTTGCAACACTTGTAGAGCTAGAGCAAAATTGTATTTCGCCATTTAGCGTACTAACAATTTGTTCTAGTGATTTCATAGAGTTTTTATGAGTCTATTCACCCCCAGTCTAGCCATATTAGGACCTTTCAATCCTACCGCCTGCCCCCCTTGGTAAGTCCTATTATTGCTAGGCTGGATATATGTCTAACTGTATAATGTTTACACTCATGCCAGGATTGAACCTAGCAATGCATTTAGAGTAGTTTTTAAGGTTGCTAAGTATACCGCTGATGTTAAGTATGGTGGGCTGGTAGAAATGACTGAGAAAGAGCATGAGTTGTGGTTGTATAGGAGCATTGGGTATAGTCTAGCTCAGTTTTATGATGATGTTGCTACAAAGATTATCTGGGGACTTAGCCAGACATTATCAATTTGGGTTTTGGACACTAATACTCGCTCTAGAATGGAAAATTAGAAGGGATGATCAATGGCAGGTAATGATGAAGGACAAATGGGATGAAAGGGTGGCTTACATTACTGTGGAGGTTGTTGCCAAAGATGGATATGAGAGAAATGATAGTTCAGTGGCATCTAAGGTTAGCAACACTAGTATTCCTCCTAGGTCTGGTGTCACTGATTTGGATGCTTCTTCTACTGGGCCTAATGCAGAAGACACTGGTGATACCAATACTATCAAAGTCGCTGTGGAGCGGGATGACAACGGGAAAGAAGGGTGACAATGGGAGGGGGAATGAACGGGATGAATTGAGCGAGGGGGGCCTGAGCGACAGGATAAAACGCTAGGGGCACTAATGTCTTTTTTCCCTGGCCGATCCATGCTGGTAGGCTGATGTAGACTGTCATGACGCCAAAAGTGGCAAAATAAGGCGAGAACTGTTCATGTAGCAAATGTGTAATTGCCAAACTAAGATCAGCAACTAGACGGGTGCCTCTAGGAATAATGGCAAAAATTCCATAGGAACTATGAGGGAGGAGGGCATACGTGGATCCGTCGTCTATGAGCTCCTTGGCTAACCATGGAGCGGGGAGCCGGATGCGGAGAGGCGGCACACACGCATCCATGGACCACGCACCACGAGTGACAAATGCAGAGGGCAACATAGGGTGGAGGAGCAGAGTGAGCCTTGCTAACATAGGAGGGAGGTGCTAGAGCCATTGCTGCTTCAAGCTTCATGTCCATGTCGGGAGAAGATGGTTCGAACAGATAACAGTCACCAGCGTCCGCTCCCCGCCAACTCGATCTAGAGGACATGGTGGGCCCTCTGTTTGAATCTGGCGCCCATGCTCTCTCCCTTCTTGCTACTACAGCGGATGCCTTCCTGTGCTCGTCCAGCATCAACGCTTCCTGCCATCAACGCCCAGCACTCCCTCCACCCCGATCGAGCCTCGACCACTTGAAATTGGCTTCTTCTCTAGCCAAATGGGCCCAATCCTTGAGTGGCTCTCCATGCGGCATTGGTGGCGTGACAAATCTGGCTGTGATTTAGGTGCGTTGGGTACTGATGTGTGCCCGCTGCTTGAGTTGTTGCCACAAGCCACAATCGCTTTCGCAGTGTTGGTTTAAGTTTAAAGGGTTATTTAGATTGGTACTATTACAATTCTTAGAACTTTCAGATGTACCATTAAAATTCATCTATTTTGAGATTTACCATTATAATTCATCATTTCACTGAGTTTTGCCATTTTTTATGTCCTCCAGCTGCTTGGGCCCACTGGCAGTCGTATGCGCACTGTTCTCTTTTTTGTATGGACAATTTTGCCCCCATCCGAAGTTGAAAGAGCCCTGCGCTGCGCCCATGGCCCCATCTCTTAGTCCCTTCTCCTCCTCACGCTCACTCTGTCTCTCACTCTCTCATCCTCCCAATGTGGCGATGATGGCGGAACCCTAACCCTAGCCACCGGTGTCCTAGAGCCCACGCCCGCGCCTGAGTCAGCTGCCGCCGCCGCCTAACTACACTGCTGCCCACGCCCTAGCTGTCCTCTCGTGGCCCCATCTCTTGGTCTATAGGCTCGGTCCATGGCTACGCCTAGGTTTTGAAGCCATGGCCAGGCAGTGGACTAGAAGCCCGATGAAGGTACCTTCGATGGGCTCGAGCACAACGGCCAGCGGTAGAAGGGAGTGCCCTTATTGCCATGTTCCTTTGGTCCGGATCCAGAGCAAGCAGCCAGGATCAGTGGTTTCTCACGTGCCCGTACAACATTAAGGTTAGGATTCTTGACATTTTTTACCTCACTATGTCTCTTGATGCTACTCTGATTGATGCATTTTTGTGTGCAAGGTGATCATACTACCTGCGGCTTCATCTGCTCTGAGTTACAGATTCAGGCCTTGGAAGCAAAGGAACGCCGGTTGCAGACTGGTAAGGAGACATCAGCTGACTGTTATGCCGAGTTGAAGGAAGAATTGCAAGAGTTGAAGCAAACTGTGGATAGTGTTGCAGCTGATCAGTGAAAACTAAAGGTCTAACCTGCTAAGCCAAAGCCTGAGTTGGACACGAAGAAATGCCATATTGTGCTTGATTGTTCAGTTGTATCGCCAGTTTTTTTTGGCTTTGTAGGTGTCCTGATTGGTGCATTTGTTGTTGCTGTTATGTGGAAGTGAACAGCTAGAATGTGTGTTAGTCAGCTAATGTAAGCGTGGGTTAGCTAATGTGTGACTGTGTGTATGTATGTTATCCTGGAATTTAATTGAAATGAAATGTGTTCTATTGAATCAATTGACATCTTGTATTCTAACTGGTTTGAGCAGTCCCATGGCATCAGGACCACCCAACTGATGTTGAAGAACTTGTTGCTAGAGAATTTCTTGGCTTTTCTGAGATAATTGTTGGATTAGCTGGGACTGATGATGTGGGTTCAGTTGAGATAGTAGTTTTGTTGTTGAATCTTTTGAAGTAGCTACAGCTGCAGTTCTAATTGTGATAGCTGTTGTAGTTGGGGTTGTTGACTTTGTAGGAGTGCCTACTGGTATTCTGCTATTTGTTGCAGCTATGGAGTCTGAGTTAATTGTGATTGTTGCAAAGAACCCATCGTTGTTAGACGTGGTAACCCTACGCGCTGGGGAGGTGACTGTTGCTCTTTCAGCTTGCGCTGGTCCGATGACTGAAGACATGCAGTAGCTTTCAACTGTTGTTGTGGCTGTGATTGTTGTCGTTGGAGTTGTTCTTGCTGCTGCTACAAGTGAATGGCAGTGGTTGGACCCGTTGTTGTTGCAATACATGGTGAGGCTGCTGCTGGTGTTGAGCTAATGAGGTAATTGCAGGGTGGTCCACTTTGGAATCAGCTTGTAAATTAGGTAAGTCAATATGTTGGGCCTGCATACTCAATCTTTTTGTTGGATCTTCACTGGCACTGCCTATCCCATCCTGCATACCCAGTTCATTAGAGGTCAAGTACTGCGACTGTACAGCAGGGGCAGCAGTTGCTAGCATATGAGGATTTTGCTGCATAGCCATCCACTAAACTAGGCTCAGGCCTAGAAATAATGCATTTTGGACATCTTTCGACTATTGTCTCCCAGTTCAGCAGATAATGATCAAATAGCATCATCAAAGCATTCTAACTACAACACAACAGGAATCCAAGACTTTATAGGTTCACAACCACTTAAATCGACATAACAGCATACCAGGTTCACAACCATACAAGGTTCTAGCATTCTAACTACAAGGTTCTTGGAATCCAACTACAATGTTACACAAAAGCATATCATAAACTACAACAAGGTTCAACTGCTGATCTTACAAAAGCATACCAGTAGCAACATACAAGTTCTCTTTTTATTACAAAAGCATATCATAAGCTGCTGACAAGCTCTAGTCTTCATAGATTAGCCTCCTAAGGCTACTAACAACAGTAGTAGGTGGGTCGGCTGTTGCCTTCTTGAGCTTCTTCTTGATGGGTGTCTTCTTCTTCTTTGGTGTGCCCTTCTTCTTCTTCTTCTTCTGAACTTTCTGTTTCTTGCCTTGGGAGGGACCAGCTGCATCTATTGGAGCTTCTTTCCTACATTTTAAAGGTGACATTACATATTGTGAAGTGAAAAACAATGAGACAGATTTAGTGCACAGAAACATACCTTTTGTTAGCCTTGTTCCTTGGTGGAGCTCTCTCACCATCTTCTCCAATCTCTGCCTGTTTACAAGTTTTTGAAAAGTGGCCAAAATCTCCACATCTCCTACATTTGACCTTCTTTTTGGATGCCCTTTTCTACAAGCAACCTCTATGCCTTTGAACCTTTGGTCTTCCTACTCCTCTGCCTAGCAATGGTGGATACACTTTGAATCCAAGTTCCATAATAGGCCATTGTGACCTATCTGGGATAGGTTCAATTCTGTCCTCATAGGTTGCCTTGAACCTAGCCACTGAGTAATACTCATGGACAAAATCTTCAATTTTCACCACTCTGTTCGACAGGATCCATACCAAAGCATGTTTGTAGGGCTTCTTTGTCAACTGCCACTCCCTGTAGGAGCATTTATGGTTCTACAAGTCAACTATTTATCTTTTCTAATTGTTCCACTCATCCAAGATGGTCACTTCTGCAATATCAACATCACTAACTGATGCCTTGACCCCTTTGAGGTTATTGCTGATCAAGTTGAGCTCCTTCATCACATTTGGGAGTATTCCATCTATCCACTGCCTAGCAAGCATCTTCCTAGTGTATCTCTTCTCCATGATCAGCTCTCTGATTCTGTCAACTAATTCATGTAGTAGCAGACCTTTGAACTTCTTTATTTGTGCATTGAAGCTCTCTGAAACATTATTTGTCAAGTAGTCACACTTGCTGTTTTCTGAAAATACACACTGTACCAGATCATGTTGTGGTGCTCCTCAAGGTACTCAATGGCTTCAGGTGCAAACTCAAAAAATTTCTTCATGTGCCACTGAAACAACCCTTGTGTGTAGCTTCTAGCTGTAGGGTACAAGTGATCAGTGAACACCTCACCAGGATACTTCTTCAAAAAATTCTGATACAAATGCCTCATGCACTCCCTATTTTCAGCTTGTGGGAAGATAGACCCCACTGCAGTCTCTAGTCCTTTACATGCATCTGTACATATAACCAGATTTGGAACATCTCCTACAACCTTATGCAGCTGCTGCAGAAACCATTTCCAATTATCTTCAGTTTCTAACTCAAAAATTGCATAAGCTATATGGTACAACCAATTATGTCCGTCCACACCAGTAGCTGAAGCTAACTGACCCCTGTATTTACCATGCAAACAGGAAGCATCTACCCCAATAAAAGGTCTGCAACCATATAAGAATCCATCTACACATGGTCTAAGAGCAACAAACATCCTCTTGAATCTATTTTTGGTGCCAATCTTCTCTAACTCTATCTCTACTAAGCTACCAGGGGATACTTTCTCAATTTGAGCACCCCAATTAAAAACCAACTGAAAACTCTCCTCATATTTACCATGGATCTACTCTAAAGCTACCTTATACCTAACCATGCCTTGGAGTATTTCAACTTAATGCCATAGTCACCCTCCAATTTGTTACTGCAGTCAGTTGCACCTTTGGTTGGATTCTTCTTCAGCTAGTCTGCCAACCTATCTACACACCAACCTTGGGTGGCCATCTTCCCTTCTCTGAGTTTTGTGGTAGGACAGTTGTGTTCAAAAGGTAGCCTTTTGATCTACACAAACAAATGCAATAGGACATTAGTTGCATAAATAACAAATTCAATAAACAAACAACTTCAACAGTAATGACAAATTTACCTCTATTGTCTTGCCATAAGAATTTCTAGAAGCATGTATACGTCAAGGACATCCCTCTGCTTTACACTTGGCAATAAATCTAGTCTGGTCAGTTTGCAGACTAGCAAACTCAAAGTTTGTCTTCACTGCATGATGCCTAATTGCCTTCCTGAATGTAACAATATCAGGAAAGAGCCCTCCTTTCACAATCTTGGGGTTTTCTGGATCATGAATCACATGGACCTCCTGTGGATCTGCATCATCAATATCTGCCTCAAGAGGAACACCTCCTTCAGCAGCACCACAATCATTTGCATCAGCATTAGCACATGGTTGTGGGTGAGAACTGTTAGCAACCTGTGCATTGTTAGTGTACTGATGAGGAGGTACTGGCATGTACATTCCCTCATCATCAACACCCGCATACTCCTCCTCATTATCAAACATATCTAGCTCCTTGTCAGGCTCTAGTTTAGGCTCTAAAGGATACTCTGGTCTTTCATCTGGCTCAGCAGTAGGCTTGGTAGCAGGGCTAACAGGAGGATTAGGCTGCTCAGCAGGATCTAGAATAGGATTCTCATGCCTATTGGGATCTAGACTAGGATTCTCATGCTCAACAGGAGGAATCACACAAAGAGGCTCTAGGGTAGCAAACTCATCAACATCTGCAACTTTTCTTTCAAAAACTCCTACAACAAGTTGGCAATGCATCTAATCCTTATACATTTCAAACACATCATTTAGCTGGAAGTCATTAACTAGTCTGATGTCTTCACACGTCCTTTTGTCAAAGAACCACACACAAGAACTCTGGGTAGGGGACCATTTGAACTGATTGGTCAAGCTTTGCATCAGCAACTCAAAAGTGAACGATCCTACCTCCACATCCCATTTAATCACACTACCCTTCGTGTAAGCTTTCCTACAATTACTGTCTGTAGTACAGAAACCTTCAACTTTAATCTCTAAGGAGAACAACCAAACCCTAGCAGCAAATAAACAATTCGCAAATAAATACACTAGGGTTAGCGCAATTCCTCGACCTACTCGCATCGCTACTCAGACTTAAGAGATTGAAGGTTGGAGATCCATACCTCTCCTCACCGTGCTCCATGTCCACAGGGTCAGCCATTGCGCTCAATGGAACACCATCATGAGGTCGCTGGAGAGGCTCCAATCGTCTAGGATCCAGGAGGACAGCTCGGGCGTGGGCGGCAGTGGAGTTGGCCGGCGGCGGCAGTTGACTCGGGCGTGGGCACGGGCGTGGGCTCTAGGACGCCGGCGGCTAGGGTTAGGGTTCCGCCGCCGTCGCCGCGTCGGGAGGACGAGAGAGTGAGAGACAAAGTGAGCGCGAGGAGGAGAAGGGACTGAGAGATGGGGCCACGGGCGCAGCGCAAGGCTCTTTCAACTTCGGACGGGGGCAAAATCATCCATATAGAAAAGAGAACAGTGCGCATACGACTGCCAGTGGACCCAAGCAGCTGAAAGACGTAAAAAATGGAGAAACTCGGTGAAACGATGAATTATAATGGTAAATCTCAAAATAGATGAATTTTAATGGTATACCTCATAGTTCTGAGAATTGTAATGGTACCAATCTAAATGACCCAAGTTTAAAAGGATGACAACTCATGGGTAGTTAGTGGTATAGAGCCGGGACTTGGGCCGTGCCATTTGAGGGTGGTCATGGCACGGTCTTTTAGCACAGCTCGAAGCACGACACGACACGGAATATTTTGGGTCGTGCCTGGCACGACACAAATACGAGGACCGTGTTGTGCTTATAATTTTGGCATGGCGGGCTACATGGCCCGATCCGCATTTTGGGTCGTATTTGGGCCGGCACGAAAATGACACGTAGGTACATCTATAACTCTGTAATGCAATTTTCTAGTATTTATTATACTGTCTCTATCTAATTATTGAATAGATTATGGAAATCGTTAAAACTTCCATGAAAATAGTATACATAAGATATATTTTTTATACCACGAGCGGAAAAGGAAAACTAGTAGAAATATTTTGAGGGTCGTGCTTGCGCCGGCACGACCTGAAGGTGTGCCGACGTATCACGGCCGTGCTTGGGCGGAAGAAAAGATTTATCGTGCTGATATCGACACGGCCCGACGTGCCTCGTGAGCCTAGGTGACACAACCTGAAACGGCATGAAGCACGAGATGGCCGTGCTGGCCCGGCCCGGCCCAAGTCCCACCTCTAGTTAGTGGAAGGAGGCCAGCACTTAGAACAACGATTCATTTCACCGTGTAACTATCAGTTTTTGGATTGGAATTGAAAAACCAATAGTTGCACGAGCCGTGAACGCGGAGACGCTTTGACTACACTGCGTGACTTAGAGGTTAGTGAGTTGTGGGACCCTTTGAATGACGTGACTTCACAAAATTACTGAGAAATCCCTAATGGGGATCTCCTATTTAGGTACAAAAGATATCTTAATTAGTGTAATAGAGTCATTAGAGGAGATATAAGGGAAAAATTGCGAACTAGGGTGTTTGCCCCCCTCTCTCTCCGCCTCTGCTAGCCAACACTGGCATTAACCTATTTCCTGGAATAGTCCTCATAACTAATTTTGAATATTTAGGCATAATGATCTTTGAGAGAGTTTGGGAAAAATTCTGGAAGAGTAAAGTTACGCTATAGCATCCGGTTTATACATATATAGACAATACAGTACGACAATCCTCCTCAAGATGAGTGATAGATATCTACCTCTAAAAACTCTCTAACTTTAGATCCACTAAATTATGCTCAAAATTGCTTTTTCATGGGAATCAAGGAGTGTTGTCTGAGTATCATTACGCGAGAGTATAAATAATTATTTTTATATACAAAATAGAGGTTGTGTCTATAGAAGAAATATTTTTCAAATAACAGAAAAAACACCAACATATAAGTACTGTACAAGTGTACAACAGAGCAGAAGTGAATTTTTTTTAGAATTAGCAGAAGTGATACTTTAGTACAATTGGTGAAAGGAAAGAAAAAGGGGAAAAAAACATCTCAGCATATGGGCCGCTTGGGCCGAAGTGTGGTTGCCGCGTTGCGCCACACCCGAACTGTCTATACCTGATGCGAAGATGGCCGCCTCGGCTCCCGGCGGCCGCCGTTCACCGCCATGCCGGCGCCCCGGCCGCACCGGACGTCGCCGTGGCAATGTACCACGCCGACGGCCTTGTCCGCCAGCACAACCGCTCTCTTGTGGAGCCCCTCCGCCGCGGCCGCTTCTCTGCCGCCCGCCGCCTTTTCGACGCGCTTCCTGCCCGCTCCGTGGTCACATGGAACTCGCTCCTCGCGGCGCTCTGCGGCCGCAGCGACGTGAGAGCTGCGCGCTCCTTCTTCGACGCCATGCCAGTGCGAGACGTCATCTCTTGGAACACGCTCCTTGCCGCGTACGCTCGATCGCTGCAACCCGATCACCTCAGCGCCGCGCACCGTCTGTTCGACGAAATGCCTCAGCGCGATGCCGTCTCGTGGAGCACACTTCTCGGCGCCTACACGCGCCGCGGGCTCATGGAGGAAGCCCAGAGGCTGTTTGATGAGATGCCACATAGGAATCCGGCTTCTTGGAATACAATGGTCACGGGGTTCTTTGCTGTTGGCCAAATGAGGAAGGCACTCAATGTGTTCGAGGCAATGCCTATCAAGGACTCTGCGTCACTGTCTGCAATGGTCTCCGGTTTTATCAGGAATGGCTGGTTGCACGAGGCTGATGAGCTGCTTACAAAGCGCCTGAGGGTGATGGACATGGACAAGGCTGTTGATGCTTTCAACACCCTTATTGCTGCATATGGACAAACAGGGAGGATAACTGATGCAAGGAGGTTATTTTCTATGATTCCAAAAACACAGAGCCATCACAAGGGGCATAAGAGGAGGGTGTTTGAGAGGAATGTTGTGTCATGGAACTCGATGATGATGTGCTATATCAGAACTGGAGATGTTTGCTCAGCTAGGGCATTGTTTGATGAGATGCCATATAAGGACTTGGTGCCATGGAACACTATGATAGCAGGGTACACTCAAGTCTCAGATATGGAGGAGGCAGAGAAGCTGTTTTGGGAAGTGCCAGACCCTGATGCAGTGACCTGGAATTTGATGATACGAGGGTTTACACAAAAAAGGGATGTGGAACATGCTCAGGGATTCTTTGATAGGATGCCAGAGCGGAGCACCATCACGTGGAATACAATGATATCGGGTTATGAGCTAAATGAGGATTATGATGGTACAATCAAGCTATTCCAAAGGATGCTAGAAGTTGGTGAGAGGCCTGATCATCACACTTTCTCTTCAGTTCTAGCAGCATGTGTGTCACTTGCCATGTTGCGCCTTGGGGCTCAGCTCCACCAACTTATTGAAAAATCATTTCTGCCAGATACAGCAACCAACAATGCACTTATGACAATGTATTCCAGATATGGTGAACTAACCAGTGCAAAGGCCATCTTCAGCCAGATGCATACACAAAAAGATTTAGTTTCTTGGAATGCACTGATAGGAGGTTATGAGCACCATGGTAATGCTACAGAAGCATTGCGCCTGTTTGAGGAGATGAGGAGTGCCAAGGTTATGCCAACTCACATAACTTTTATTTCTCTCCTGAGTGCATGTGGAAATGCTGGCCTTGTCTCCGAAGGATGGGTGTTTTTTCATACCATGGTTCATGAGTATGGCCTCGCTCCTAGGGTTGAGCACTATGCTGCGCTTGTCAATCTCATAGGACGACATGGCCAGCTTGAGGACGCATTGGAGGTGATCAAGAGCATGCCAATTGCTCCAGACCGAGCTGTGTGGGGTATTCCTGGGAGCCTGCATTGCTAAAAAGAATGAAGCGCTGGCTGAGGTGGCTGCCAATGCATTATCCAAGATTGATCCTGAGAGTTCTGCTCCATATGTTTTGATGCACAACTTACATGCCCATGAGGGGAGTGTTAGATAATCTACTGCTTCCTTATGTGAACACACAACAAGGGAAGGCGGCGTCGAAAAAGGCTCTCAGCTGTGGCACTGTAGCCGCTGTAGAGGCAGGCGCCGAACGGCTCATCTGCCGTACTGTAGCCACATGCAGGGACAGACGCAGAAGTCAATCCTGCTGTGTTATCTAGTCACTGTTGCAGCAGAGCATCTGTACTAGGACTAGATGGATAGGGTTGTATATATAGTTTGCCACTGCAACTCAATAAAGAGAGTTCAGATTTGTCATCTCCTACACAGGGCTCCGGCCAACACTGGTACTTGTACTGTGTGTGTATGCTCTGTTCTCCCTCTTCTTCAACCTCTAGCCATAGTGTGTGTGGTCGGACAACGCTTGTTCTTGGTCGGCATAGCTAGTGGGTGCACGGCAACACTAGCGGGTGCTCGGCAAGACTGGTGAGTGGTCAACTCACCTGAGCCGGTGATCCTGTGGGCTAAGAAGTGGTATCAGAGCCGTACAAGCGCCGTCGTCGGACTAACCGCTGGCGATGACGAACGGTTTGGAAATGGGCGACAGCAGTGGCACTGCTGTGGCTGCCCAGCCACAACCGAAGGTTGTTGTTCGCACGGTGCGGGAGGTCAGCGGCACCAGTTGGTCGACGCTGACTCGCACCAACTATGGAGAGTGGTCGGTGACCATGAAGGTCAAGCTCAGAGCCCGACGGCTCTGGAATGTTGTTGACAAGGGCACCGACAATGAGGAAGATGACATGTCAGCGTTGGAGGCTATCCTCGCTGCTGTACCAGCGGAGTACAAGGAGCCGTTGGGGGTGAAGAGCTCTGCTAAGGAGGCGTGGGAGGCTATTAGGGCGATGCGCGTCGGTTCCGACCGCGTAAAGAAGGCAATGGCCTAGCTTCTGAAGTAGGAGTACGCCAACCTCAAGTTCAAGGATGGTGAAACGGTGGAGGACTTCTCTCTCCGCCTGCAGACGCTCATCAGCAAGCTGAAGAGCCACGGCGTCACCATCGACGAAGAGGAGGCGGTCTCCAAGTCCCTACACTCCGTGTCGGTAAAATACATCCAGATCGCTCTCTCTATAGAGACGATGCTGGACTTATCCACCCTCACCATTTTGGATGTGACAGACCGTCTGGGCGGTGGACGAGTGCCTGGAGCAGGCGACAGCAACGAAGGACAGC